TGCCCAACATTTTTCTAATTTACAGTAGATCTCTATCTTTAAGCCCTTTCAAGCCACAAGCTTTTGAAATCTTGATGTCAAAATCCAGCATTTTTCCAAAAAACCCTGGCGCCTAAAGGGTGAAAAATCTTCGTTTGTGTTCTACTGTAGAAACAAAGTCACCTACATCTTGGATGCCCTGGGGGTGAACAGATAAACATCAAATTTTCATTTTTGGGTGAACTATCCCTTTAATGTCTATGGTGGTTATCGCCCTGATCAGACGTGAAAATATGTTGTGGCACTATCGTGCAAGTCTGTATGACGTCAAATTTTAGCAATTTTATTGCAAACATTTCTTTGAATAATATGACCGTAAATATGAACTCAAGATGGAATGTAACATAAAACAAATGATTATTTTTTATTAAAATCCCTATTAATGCCAAAAATACGTACATTTATGGGTCTTCTTGTTTGCTTGGGCAGCCATGTTGACGCTGTAGCTGGTGTATGCTGAGATAATTTTTTATACCCCTTTGTTTGAATTTGGGTCCTGAAAAATCTTCATTTGAAGGGCTATATGACCCTTCCCCCTACCCCTACGTCTCCAACCAAAAGAAAATCGAGACACCCCTACCCCTAAAGTGACACCCCAACCCCTACCGACATCGGTACTTTTGACAACACTTCAAAAGAGAGCTTGTCAAGACAGGAGTGAGCCAAGGCTGTTTGCTCTCTCTGTTTTTGTTCCTCCTGGTCATTGACTGGATCATGAAGACTACAACCAGTGGGAAGGTGGGATACAGTGGACACTGTGGAGTCAGATGACATGGCACTCCTGTCCCACAGCCACCAACAGATGCAGGACAAGTCTTCACACCTCCTCAAAATTTCATCTTAGGTGGGGCTCTACATCCATAGAGGCAAGACCAAGATCTTGAAGGTCAACACCACCAGCGAAGAACCAGTGAGGCTGGATGGCAAAGCTCTAGAGGAGATGGAGTCCTTCACATACCTCGGCAGCGTGGTGGATAAACACGGTTGGACATATGCGGATGTGAAGACCAGAATCAGCAAGGCCCGAGCAGCATTCATCCAGCTGAAAAATGTCTGGAGCTCCAAGGAGATCAGCCGTCACACCAAGATATGTTTGTTTAACTCGAACACCAAGACAGTGCTGCTGTACGGAGCAGAAACATGGAGGACTACAAAAGCCACCATGAAAAAGATCCATGCCTTTGTCAACCAGTGTCTCCGCTGGGTCCTTTCAATTCACTGGCCAGAGGTCATCAGTAACACCAATTTGTGGCAGAGGACAAACCAGCATCCTATGGAACAAGAGATCCTGAGAAGTAAGTGGGGATGGCTTGGCCATACCTTGAGAAAACCAGTAGTCAACATCACAAGACAGTCTCTGATATGGAACCCGTAAGGGAAAAGAAAAAGTGGACAGCCACGGAACACCTGGCACCGAGACCTGGATGCAGAAGTCTGCAGAAGCTGACAGGAATTGGATGGGGGCAGCTGGTGATGGTAGAACAGAACAGACAACGCTGGAGGGCAGTCGTCGATGGCCTATGCTCCAGGAAGGAGCAACGGGCCTAAGAAGAAGGCCAAGATCCATGCAGGACTCGTTGATTGAAAGAGCCATTTACTGATACTAGTGCTAATAAAAGCGTTGCCTTGTAAGAGAGCACTTTGAAGCCGACAGTGAAGCTGACTGTAGCGGCTCAAATGGCAAACAAATCAAAGCTTTAAGGCCAAATCCCAAGTGGGGATTGTAGATGGGTGAAAGGGGTTTAACCTAAAGATGAAATGGTATGAAAATTTCACATCACTATTATAGTGACCAAATTAATCATAGTTATAAAAATTATCACGATATTGTTGAATGTGCTGGTAATGTTTAAAAAGTACTCATACAGACAATTAAATCATTTCACCAAGTTTTATGTTTAAAACCAACAAACAACAAATACAATTAGCAGTACTATGCACTTTTCGTTTGCATAAACATTAAAACGATAACATTAAAAATGATGGCTGACAAAAAAATATTGGTTGGGTGACTTACAACACAACATGTTATGTACTACATGTTAAAATAAAGTTTTGACAAAAAAATTAGAAACCTTACATTTTAGCCTCTAAATCAGTTGGAAGAGTCAAAATAATAAATTATAAGAATTGTATCTGCTCCATAAACAATTCTACATAGGGTACCTTATTATCTGAAGTGTTGAGATTTTTAGAATTCACACTTTTGTAAGAAGAAAAGATGAGGACGTTGAAGATCTTGATGAAGATCTTCAACATCTTCAGCATAGCAGTGACAAAGTACATGTAGTACCTTGGGTTCAACAGAGTCGGAATGAAACCAAAACATCCTAAACTTAACCCTTTTATACAGCTACAGTTTACTGCCATTAATGTAAATGATTTTTGCTTTCGCCAACCTAGGGAGGCGAAATAGTGTAGTGATGGGTACTTTTGGGTACTTTATCTGATGGCTTTGAACAGTTTGCTTATGCTAGTCCACCAAGATCCAATCAAAATGTAGCAAACCCTTCTCCACTATAGTGGTCAGGGAGGGGCCCCACCATAAACTGGGCCCTGGAATGTGCTGTCCATTACATCCCCCCTGATCGGCTTGATCGAGGACCTGAAGTCGTTGATCTGGGTGATGCACTAAAAGGAACGGCAGGAACAAAACACACACACCTCTCCTCCTCCTTCTGACCATTGGCATTAAAGTACAATTTGGCTCAATATGTTCTATATAGAGCTAAATTAACTAAATAATTTCTAAACAGGTTAGAAGCATTCTGGAGAAGATATGTGTAAGGAAAAGTTGTCCTAAAAGTAACTTACTTAAAGGGGTCATCGGATGCCCATTTTGCACAAGTTGATATGATTCTTTAGGGTCTTAATTAAAAGTCTATAACATACTTTGGTTAAAATTTCTCAATGGTAGTGTAAAAAACACCTTTTTAAACCTGTCAAAATCAGCTCTGTTTTTATCAAGCCATTATAGTCCATGTTGCTTTAAATGTTAATGAGCTCTGCTGGCCCCGCCCC